GGGGGTTGGAGATGTCTTGGAATGATGGATATTGTAACAACATTATTGAAAATGATTCAATAAGTGTGATTAGTGTGCTCACTAAAAATGGTACAATAATCCGTGAGAATCATTTGATTTCTCGCATACGGACACAGATCGATAAAAATTGATTTATGACTTTTAGGCATACTTTGAGGGAGGGTAACTCATGTACATGGTTGGCGAATTTCATATTAGACTATGAGGGTCAGGAAGACTATCTTATTTGGTGAAAACCTTCTACTGCATCCAATTACTGTTGCTTGCTGATCTGTCAGCTGTTGGGAGACCTCGTGCTTTGAGTTGCAATAATTAGGTTTCTTTTTGTGTTCTTTATTTATTTTGTGGCTTAGACCTTTTGTTTATAAAAAAAATAAATTAAAAATAGTAAGCTAATGATTTGACCGTTTAAGAATTTAAGTCACAGTAAGCATTATTTTAAAAATAAAATTCCCAAGACGTAATGATATTTATAAATGAGAATAAGTAAATTAAATAAACCCTCTACATTTTTAAGATATACAAACGCAAACCTTTAACCAAACGCATTCTATTGCTTTTGTTTTTGAAGAAAAATTAATCCAGTACTAACATTAGCACAAATATTAGAGACTAATTGCCAAAATTAATCTTATTGTGATCAGTGACAAATTGCTTTTATTTTATTTATATATTCTGAAAAATCACGTTGAGTACTTCGTAACTGATTAATTATATATAACAAATAATTATATATTTTTGAAAAACTTTTTCAAAAATTTGCTTAGTTTTCTTTAACCGATTTACTTCTTCAATTTGTTTAAAAGTAAGTCATTCACGTCAAGATTAAAAAATTCAAAATGATATATATATATATATATATATATATATATATATATATATATGGAAAATCACTTCTCCTTTGAAGGAAGAAGAGACTTCTTCTGCCACTGAGTGCTTGGAAGGTGTGCCTTGTTTTTTTTTTTTTTCTATTTTAAAAAAATGTGGCCCCCACCTTTGATTGTGTCTGCTGCAAAGTCATGGATTCTACTGCGAAAGAAGAGATATAAAGCTCATATATATATATATATATATATTCAAAATGATATTCTACATAACCTACTACAAGAGATTTGACATATCTTACATTCAAAACAGTGATTCCGTGCATATCCGTACATCAAGTGCTAATCCACGGTTAAAACTTAAAACAATCCATTGGAGCTCACTTAATTAAGTATAAATTAACTCAATTTTTTTTTGGTAAACAATTAACTCAATTTACTTCATATATAAAGTAAAAGCCAACTGTGATTTTCATATAAGAAAAAAAACTAACAAGTTTGATACATTAACTAAAACTATATTCTATTGGTTTTATGATAAACTTAATACCATATAACTCGTGAATAGTTCAAGTGTTTATAAATTTTAAAATAGAAAAACTCAAAATAATTATTGTTTAAAATAGAGTTCAAGTGTTCCAACAATTAATTATTTAGTCCTGATTTAAATTCATTTTTGAAATTACCCGTTAATTAAATTCCATTAAATGTCAAGGCTAATATTAAATAAAGCATGGTTTCAACGAAGAAAAGTCAAATGAAACAGTTCCCAGGTTAGGCAAAGCTTTTTTTTTTTTTTTTTTAATTTATATAGTGGCCAACGTGACTGTGTATTAGAAAGTAGGGGTGTTCAAAAAATGATCCAAACCAATCCATGAACTAAACCAAACCAGTTCCAAAAATTGAATTTTATAAAACAGTTTAAAAAATCAATCCAATTTTTTAATTTTGGTTTAAGTTTGGTTATTCATTTTCACAACAGTTTGGATATTCAAAATAACCAAACCATATTCACTTTTTAATAGTTTTTTATTTTTTATTTTATTGAGTTTATTATGTTTACCTCATTCTTTCTCGTTGATACTTTACGAGAAAATGTGAGTTAGAATAGAAAATTGTTTTTTGTGTCTAGAAAATTCAAATATGATTTTTCATACGGCGGGTTTGGTTTTTACTAAAATTATCGATAATACAGTTTTATCTTTTACGTTTTTGCTTATTGTGAGCATATTTATGGTTAAAACCAATGTTATTAAAACCGGCTCGGTCATTGACCCGGTCGAGGTACTGGGTCACTGGTTTAATCGCATGACCCGGTAAATATATGCAATTTTATAATTTATATCAAAAAATTATAAACATACTCAAATATCTTAAAAAAAAGATAAAAATTTCAAATATTTTAATATAAAAAATAATAAATCACATATTATTATCCAATAAAAGATCAAACAAAAATATAATGATCGTGATACGGAGTTTTAGGTTCAGAAAATGATATCCCTAACTACAAATTAATTCAAAATTAATCCAATAGGGAAAGGATATTTTGACAACCAAGTCATGTTACACCTATGTGACACCCAATCAATCTCACAGTTAGATCGATTATGTTGATCCAATGGTTATATTTATTTCCATCTTTGTATGGTCATGATTCCCCATATTTAAAGTGAAAGCATTAAATATGTGAAATCATTACCATACAAAGGTGAAAAGAAATATAAAGTTTTAAATTTGAGAAATCATGACCATACAAAAATGGAAATAAATATAACCGTTGGATCAACATAATCGATCTAACGGTGAGATTGATTGGGCGTCACATGGGTGTAACATAACTTGGTTGTCACAATATCCTTCCCCATAATACATAAATGAGATAATATTAGTGTTGTAGGTACATAACTTATGTAAGTCAATAAGAAAAAAATATATTCAAATATGTCCATCATGATTTTTTTTTTTTTTAAAAAAAAATTGGGATTTTTTTTTAGAGACTGGGGGTCACCGGTTAACTGACCGAGTCACCGGTTTTTTATGATAACTGGTCGGGTCGGACCGGGTTGCACTAGTTCTGATGCATGGCCGGTCCGTTGCTTCAACCGGACCGATTATATGACCGGTTTACCGGTTCTCGAGTCGACCCGGTCGGGTCGGTCCAATTTTAATAACTATGGTTAAAACAAGAATTTCCATGATTGTGAGCATCACTTCTATATGGATGAATCCATGATTGATGGCTTCAATAGTGAGCCTTCTCATATTTAATCAAAATAGCCTAGATATTTTTAGCAAAAAATAAATAAAGAGCCTTCTCATGTTTAATCAAAATAACCTAGAAATTTTTAGCAAAAATTGATTTTGAAGTTATTATAAATCGGTTTTGAACTTGATAACCAGTTTATGGTTCATAACCGATTTTGATTTAAAATCGATTTTGAATTAAAATCGGTTCAAAATCGGTTTTGATTATTATCTGTACAATCTAATATGGATTAGGCTAGACCACACACAATTGAAGATTGAAGACTTTGGGTTAGGTACAGTATTTCGTGGGCTGATGATATTTGCTTAGTAGGTTATGGATGTTGAGCTTCCTTGACGCAATGGATTCGATTGGGGGTACCTTGCAATGACACTCTGACACTCAAGTTAGTATTATGATATATTCTTATTGGAATTAGATGATCATACCTGGATTTGTACCATTGATTTATATAACAAATCTTATGCCGCCTTTGGTAGGCGACATGCCATTGGTCGTTATGGGCTGCAGATTTATATGTCTTAGCTGGTGCCTTTCTGGCTATACGTCTATATATTGGCCTGTCTTCTTAGAGTGATGACAAGTTGGAGCTGTCTTTCGTGTGTTGGCCTATAACACAATGAATCTTAGTTTGTTATAGGATCCTTCCTTAGCTTTTAAGTCATATTAGAATGAGACCATTGAACCTTTGGGTCCTTTGCGCAATGGTGATATTGCGCTTTTCATGAAGCCTGTATATACTTGGACCTATTATAGACTTTATCACTTGTAAGCCTATTATAGTTTATCCAGATTAGATTGATCTTAAATTAAAATCGGTTTTGAATCATAAATCGATTTTGAAACCAGTTTCAAACTGATTTGGATAAATAAAAATGGTTTTAAAAAAAAAACCAGTTAGATTTAAAAATTAAATCGTTAAAACCAATACAATTTGATTTTTATCAAAATCAATTATGAACAGTTCAATGCACACCAGTGCTACAGATTAAACAAAGTAACACAAGCACAAATTGATACCCGAAAGAGAAATGCGGAAGAAGATGCTAACAAAGGTAGCAAATAGCATCAATTGCATCGTGAAAGAAAGCAAAGGTGATAAAGTATAAGTCATTGGTCCAAGGAAAAGAGTGGGTACGTTGCAGATAACGCAGCAGCTAGCAGGCGCACAAAGTCATCAACACAACACAAAACAACACAAACAGCCTCGAGTAGAGAGAGAAAGAGAATCTGACACATGTTAACAAGACAAGTGCTAATGTTGTGGCCCATCAAGCATTCACTTCACTCGCTTTAATTTCCTTGCATACTCCAAAAAAAAAAAAAAAAAAAACGTGGCCTTTACTCTCGTTCTTGTATTCTAGTGATTAACCTTCCTTTCAGAACCTATTATTTGCATGTCTTAAACAACTTAATCTATAAACTTAAGGGTGTTGTAGGAAGATTCCGAGCAATCTCTCTTTCTCACGGGAATATTTTTGTGCTCCATATCTCATGTAATTCTTTCATTTAGGGAATGACACTTGGATAAAAATTTATTTTTTATTTTTTCGTTCTTCTCTATAATTATTTGATTTTAATTGATCTAAACTAGTGATTCGGATCACGGAAATTATTCTCCTTTCTCATGCTCTTTCTCCTTAATTAGTGTATTCCCTTGTATGAAATAAATTTTTAGTATTACTATTATATTAAAAATTTAGTATATCTCACTAATAAAATTATTACATGTAAGTTAATTTTATTTTATTTTTGTCAAATTTTTTCTTCCTCCTCTAATATATAATGCTCCGAAATGCACTGAATTTAATTACAGTACCAGAGATTTATTGCTTTTGTATGCTGGTTTAGGACACACATTCATTTGAAGGTGATTGGACTAGGGTTCCAGAGAGTGACTCAGAAGGGCAATAATTAAAAACTGGACCAGGGTGCAGGCTATGGGAGAGGACCAACATGACCTTGTCGGTTGTTCTGTAAGACAAATTCTTGCAGTGAAGTCACCACTCATTCTGAGTGCAAAACAACCTTCTCTTTTTCCTTTCATAGTTGGTTTTCATGGGGCTGGATGGCTGGTAGGAAACAATACTTAGGCCCTTACCACCATACCACACCCCTTTTCTCATAAATCAATATTAAGAATAAAATCACTCATGTCTTTCTTAATCAATGTTGAGTTTATTTTGTTCTCTCTCTCTCTCTCTCTCTTTCCCTTTGTGTCTTTCAAGTTGTTGATGTTGCAATTCAGCTTTCTACTCCTCAAATCTTTGTGGTTTAATCTTAGCACCTGAAGTGAGTCTTATTTTTTATTTTATTTAGGTTACATAGGCACAAAAAATCAAACTATTCTGTCCAGAACTATATAAACAGTTAAAACACTGCCTTAGGCCTCTGAGAATAGGATTGATTAGAGAAAATTGGTTGGTGAGATTAGCAACCAGATGTCAATATCAGAATAAGCAAGAAAAAGAATAATTCGTGTGGTGTGCTAGTAATTACATCTTTGATTGAGTCTGTTCTTGGATTAGATGGGATGAATTAGGGTTCAACAGGCTACAGGAAGATCCACACAACCATAATTAAAGAAAAAAAAAATCATGAAGATGATGATGATTAAGGAAGATTATATTATACCATGTCATAATTAGGGTAAGGGATTGAGATCAAACTTAGATCTTGGCATTTCACATAAGGGATTTGATGGAAATGAGAGTCCAAGACAAGGAAATAGAGATGCCCACCACTTTAGGTTATACTAATCTTCCCAATAGAGATTCTTCTTCTTCTTCTTCCAAGCTGTCTTCTGCAAATCTAGCTTCAACGTTAGGGGAAAGAAGTACTGATCAACCTTCTCAAAATCGCACATTAATCTTCAATGATCCACCTCAAACTTCACACCATCATCATCATCATCATTATCCACCTCCTCTTGCACCCACTCATATTCCTCAAGCTCAAAGACCCACTACAGATCCAGATCTAAGCTCTTCTCCTATTGCAACAACAAGCACCCCAATTGCAAGTGGATCAAACCCCACAACAACAACAACAACACCACAACAGACAACTATTGCAACAACAATCTTAAACCCGTTAATCAGGTACCGAGAATGTCTGAGGAACCACGCCGCCAGCATGGGGAGCCACGTGGTAGATGGGTGTGGCGAATTTATGCCAAGTGGAGAAGAAGGAACACCAGAATCACTAAGATGCGCTGCTTGTGAATGCCACCGCAACTTTCATCGAAAAGAGGTTGAAGGTGAACAACCCCAACATGTTCCTAATTATCATAACTATTATCCCAACAAACACAACGGTCATATTCAATTCCCTCAGCATCATCATCATCATAGATTTTCACATGTGGTGACCACCACCCCAACAGCAGGCCTAATTCCGCCGGTGATGGTGGCGTTTGGAGGCGGCGCCGCTGAGTCCTCCAGCGAAGATCTCAACATGTTTCAGTCTAATACAGGAGCACAGTTATCAGTGCAGCCACCACTATCAAAGAAGAGGTTCAGGACAAAATTCTCCCAACAACAGAAGGATAAGATGATGGAGTTTGCTGAGAAGCTGGGATGGAAGATCCAGAAACATGATGAACAGGAAGTGCAGCAATTTTGTTCTCAAGTTGGTGTCCAAAGACAGGTTTTCAAGGTTTGGATGCACAATAACAAGCAAGCAATGAAGAAGCATCAAATGTAAGCCCATAAAAGATACTCTCCTTCTTCTCAAGAGTTGTTGTCCATGTTGTTTTTAAAAGAAATAATAATTATAATAATAAAAGACAGCAGATTTTAAGTGAATATAACTAGATTAAATGTGCATATTCAAACAGAGGAAGCTTACTCGTTTTCTAATTTGTATGTTCTTACTTAACATACTTGATCATTGAATTTCAATATGCAATCTTCTTTAAAATGTGTTATGCTCTTTCTTATGCACTAGCTAGCAGCAACGAAAATATGTACTATTTTTTTGGTGCAGAAAAATGATTAATTCTTAGTTTCTCACCTCTTTCTCCCTTTTGGAATGATTAGCCATTTTTTCCTACTGGGCAAGACTCGAGAGAGAAATTAAAAAAAAGGAAAAAGAAGAAAAGAAGAGAGATGACGACAACTTTCGGCCGTTGTTGATGAACTTACATATTATATTACGTTGTTTGTTATAAGCTACTTAGGCTAGCTGTAACGATATTTCATGCATAAGCCCTTTAAGACCTTTTGTATTTCAATCATGGAAGCCTCGGTTCGTGAACTTGTGATCACTTCCTTCCTAATCAATATTGTTGAAGGCTTTACCCATAACCCAACAATTTTGTCCTCTCTTAGTCATTCGTTACATTGGACACCGACACATGAATTTAGTAGACAATACCCGCTCTTTTCTCAATTTACCTTTTTGTAAGTCAATATAGTGTGTTGTCAATATTCTCTACCCGAACAAATCATGAAGATATAACCAAATCATGACAAAGAAACAAGGAAGAGGAGGACTCTCATATATTTAGTATATATATTTTTCAATGATAACAGGCTCATGGTGAAAGTAATATCCTTTATATGCGAGAAAGGGAAAACAGTTATATGAAATGTGATAAGAATTCGTAGCAATAGCGAAACTCAAGGATTAGTCTTATCGACCTAATAGAGGTCCAGAGGCCCATTTCTAGAAAGTCCAAGAAAGGCTAACGGCTAAGATAACGGATCAAGAACTAGACTCCAAATATTTTTAAAAGGTCCAAAAATTCATTCCTGTCAAGTAACCCATCTATAAGTACACTATTCTAAAACCCTCTCTACTATGCACAACTCATCCTTTGACTATGCCGTATAGTACACAATGATTCGCTATTTTCTAAAGTATTTTTCTTATAAATACTTGAGAGAGGACATTTAGATTTAAGATTAATATACCAGCCTCCGGCTGCCCATCTCTCTCGTCAAGAGAGAACAAGTAGTAAGGTGAATCACTTTAGATCAAGGGGGACATTTCTTATAAGTATATATAAGATTTCTTACATAAAATGACATTTTAAACTGGTTCCCCCTTTTCCAATACTGGTGACACGTCATGACGTCAAGGGGGAAGTTCTTTATGATTATTTGGTGAAAGAATGAAGATATTTAGCTGAGACAGATAAAGATCAAAATAAGCAATATATTTCGAACTTAACTGTTTGCTACCTATATTGATCCAAAAATAATGTTTTAAGCAAACAGATATAATTAAACTCACACACACTTACACTCACATCTGCACATCTTTCATTGTTTAATTATAATTGGTTGCCTTTTCTTTTTTTTCATTTATGAAACTAACAGTTTTATACTGGCTAAACAGAATAGTAAAAAAAAAGCAAAATTTATTACAAGAAGAATTACTACCAGTGTTCCAGTGTAAACAGTAGCAAAACTTAATGCTCCCAATTATTATGCCTCTATTGGAGCAACCGAGCAAGACGAAGAGGGTGATAACATAAATTTATAAAGAACCATGAATAAAATTCTAAAGAATAAAATCTAGAGAAAGAAGGTAGATGGCAACTTTAAGAAAGATAAGAGTCAAACTAGTTAAGGAAAAGGTTATTGCACTGAGCGCGCAATATTCATTGTGGTTTTGTTAGAAATGCTAAGATACTTAAAAACTATTATCAACCATTAAAACATAGCTCAGTCATGCATCTGATAGATACCTAATCTTACATAAGATCCAATCCCGCTTCTTATTTATTCTCAAAGGAGCTCAAAGTTTGGTGGAAATTTAGTCCCCTCTCGATATATATACCTGCAGCGATGAGCCATAAACAAAAGCAGTATATATCTATATACAATACACTACGCTGAACAATGTATTCCACATATACATGCTGTGTCCATACTATAATTAATGAGATATTCTTACAAATACTCAGAATGTAATACACCTTCACCCAAAGGCTCAGATTCAGTTAATTAATCTAACTGCATTGACTCAATTTGTCACATGACATTTGGAGCTTTCGGTAAGATTACATAAAAATCAAGCTTCGTGCAAGTTGACCTTCCCAATTAATTAGTACGATACTTACTTTGTAAGTTACCAAAAACCTCTGGGCGTATAGAGATTTAGAAAACTTAATTTATTTCCTATCTTAGTACTAGAATTTACACATTAGTTACTATGCTTGTTCCGGCAAAAGTTGCTATCTAAAATTATAAAACTTCGTCCGTGTCTAAAATAAATGACCGCGGACTTGCATTTAGAGATATGGACCACCAAAAGTACTAAAGAAGACCACTAACAAAATGCAGAAGAGATACTACTAATTAAAGGAGAGGGGATTACCTTTATTAAACCATGCACCTTTTAGAGGATCGTGCTCTTCTAATTATAACAAATTACACATGCCTAGGAAAGGGCCCCAACAATTTATATCAAACGTCAGCATACACTGACTGCAAAAGGTTATAGTTATAAATACATAGCCTATGGTAGGTTGCAAATTAAGCCCCAAAAACCTTTCTACTTGGCATATTGATAGACCAGAAGAGCCAAATTGTGCGGGCCGAACCTTGGGATACACCACCTCAGATTAGTTGTTTATACAATTAATGTGGGATTCTAAGTTCCATACCTTGGAAATAGGTCTTAACAATCCACCAAGCTTCGCATCCCAAGCCCGGGGTTCAAGTCTAAAGATCCAACCCCCAGGTTCTTCTGGTTCCAAGTTCCAATACGAAACATAGTGGATACTCTGATACCGTTTGATAAGAACCTAGGAATGCACCATCCCAAAAGTTAGTTCAAAGGGTAAGAGTGCTCAAGGCCTTATAAACCCCACATTAATTGCCCATAAATGTGGAACTCCAAGTCCCATACCTTGGAAATGGATCCTAACCTAACAGCCTTCCAGGCCTTTCTCCTACCATTAGGGAGAATAGAGACTTGTGTTACCATTTTCTTAAGGAAAATATCTAACAAGCTGTACTTTTGCATCTCTATCAAAGAAAAGGCATATACAAAAACAGGTACCAGAACACATTACAAGGGAACATAGTAGATATAAACGATAACTTGGGCAAGAGCTAAAAACTAATTGAAACATACACTAGTGAGGTTTTTACTATATAGCTAGCAATAAGTGGAAAATTGACCATACCCTCATATTTTTGGACTGTTCCTCATCTTAGCTCCAAGATTGCCAGTGGCCTCCGAAGCCTTCTCCTTTGCAGCCTCATACTTAGCCTTGTCCTCTTCAGTCATGGTATTCTTTGCTGTTACATATGCTTCACCCACTTTATTTTTAGCTTGGTCAAAAGTTTCGGCCACTTTGTCACTTCCATATCCAATTGCCACACCCATCTTATCTTCAGCATCATTGGCCTTATCTCTTCCATAATTCATTGCTCCTTTTAAATTGTTTTTAACATCATAAGTTTTCTGTGAAGCCATCTTTATTCTCGGCTTAGCATCATCATTAGCATTACCTGAAGCCACGTGACTTATTTTTTGCCTAGCTTCATCATAAACATCGCTTGCTTTGTCCTTTGCATTTCCCATTGCCTCAGCCATTGTGTCTTTCGCATCATAGAATTTTTCTGATGCCTTATCTGAAGCAGTGTACATTTTTTGCTTAGCATCCTCATAGGTATCTCCCATTCTTTCTCTGGCTTGAGCCATGGCTTCTCCCATTGTGTCTTTTGCATCATTAATCCTATCAGATGGCATTCTGATGATCTCATCATCTCCATTATAAGCCTCGTATGGTTTTTCTCTTCCATATGCCATGGCTCCTGAAATTGCTTGCTTGGCATCCATACCCTTTTGAGAAGCATATTCTGAAGCCCCTAGAAAAACAAATCAAAGGAATTACATTGCATTAATTCGATATATACCAATTTTAAATCGAAAGGTACATGAAAAAAGAGTGGCAAAGAAAGAACAAATACTCGATGCTGCGGATCTCATTGTCTCTGTGGCCCTTGAGGCAGCATCTTCAGCATTATACTTCATGTTTTGAGTCGCTTGTTTTTCACGATCCTTTTGGAGCCCAAAACTTCTGCCACAATAATTTCAAAGTATTATGATATATTTATCAACAAAACACAATATTTAAGGTTTGGCCAAATATACACAAGAATTAGAAACTAAGGAATTTGTTACATAGCAAATACTAGTCAAGCAAAACAGAAAGTAGCAGCATCAATCCACGCTAAAATTGAGAACCCAGAAAAGACATACCGTCCATTAGAAAAATGAATATATTAAAACCCATCACATTAATAAATAAATAAATAAACAATGAAAACCTAAAACACAAGTATATGGCCCGTTGGCTTTGTAACATATTTTCTCTATTTGAAATCGGTTGCTATATATATTTATATATATATATCACATCAGGGAAACAAACATACTGGGCTTGCATAACTGAAAATTATTGAGAATAGAAAAGGAAAGAGTGAGAAAGAACATTACTCAGAGAACTCGTCATGAACCCAATCGGCCCAAGACTCTGTCTTTTCCTTGGCATTATGAACGGCTTCGGTGGCAAACTTCTTGGCCTCATCTGCTTTGGCTTTGGCATCATCAGCAAAATCATTACACCAAGGTCTGCATATCCCCACACACACTGCTAGCCACAGCACCAACAAGAAAACCTTTGTGCTTGTCATTTTTTCTCTCCCTCTCTCTCTCTTTCTCTTTCTCTTTGTCTGAACGAAAAGTTCGCAGTCTATATGTATGGTTTTGGTATCATACGAGAATGGAGTGGCAGATACGGTTGGTGTTAATATATGTAGTGCAGAATGAATCTCCACGTGGTGCTGAGGAGAAACGTGGTGATATTTAGAGAGTCAAGAGGTAGGGGAACACACCAGCTTTTGGCCACGTGTTGAACATGCATGGAGTGTTGGGGGCGCACCCGTATGGCCCGCATCGCGACCAATCTCGATGGCTTTAACGGGTTTTTCCACACTTTTCTGGGAGACCAGACCTTTTTCTTTTTTCTTTTAAGACCTATGACCTACCCACACGGATATAGGAGTAGGAAACTGGTAGTGATAACTGGGGAGATAACTGTGTGTCTGAAGGAGAGTACTAGAATTTAATTGCCTTTATAAAAAATTTAGAGAAATATTACTCTCCTTTTATATGAGGTAACTTATCTCATATTCTCTCACTTCAATTTTTGCACCCCACTTTTTTTTTGTCTTTTTTCTTTTTTCTTGTAATGGTGGGACCCACCTATTTTCTCTCTACCACATAAGATAACTATCTTATGTGGAAGTAGATTAATAAAACTCAAAATTTTATAAGGGAAAGGCTTTACCTCCTGGACTAAAGAGGGATGAGATCTTAAAGCGACCTGTATTTAGTATTTACTCGTTCGTGCCAAGTGTATGTGATTGTCCCAAACTCTTTTACTTGTGAATGTACCAAAATAAAAAGGCCGAGCGATGACCCTTTTTTTCACGTGCACAATCATGTCTTATCTTCTAAATTCTAATCCTGCATTAATTATTTTTAATTTATTTTCTTCTATTTTGTTTCTCAGTGGCTTGTCCTGTCTTACGGGTTTTCTTTGGTTGAAGCTTTGGAAGTAAGTGTTTTTTTATTTTAACATAACATGACATAATGCCATGCATATATACATTGGATCGATGATTTTATGAGAGCGCTCTTGCTCTGAGGGTAATAAGGTTGACAAATTGTTCAATAACTCAAATCAAAATTTGTAATGGCTTGTCTTACATATACTTTTTGCATTTTTTTTTATTATTCTTAAACGTAAGTGTGCGTGTGAGACAAATTTCATCTATGTATTTTTCAGTTAAAATAATTATTATCCCAATTTTTATTTAGGGTTTTCATTTTATCCTTTAACATAACACAACAAACTTTCCTACTCTCACAACATTTTGTGAGGCCCACACTTTTTAAAACAAAAAAATAAATAAAAAATTAAGGCACGCAAAACGAATCTCTATAACATTACACAATCACTTTTCCTACAACATAACTCTTATAAAACCTTTTTATTTATGGTTAAGCAAAATAAATTGATTTTTATGATATAAAAAATGATACTAAATGAGAAAATTCCCCATTTACATGATACATATATAAAACAAAGTAGTTACAAAATATGAAAATAAAGTCAAGTCACAAAATATTTACGTAATTCTTTAAAATGTACAAAAAAGTTAAAAATTATTAAGTTAATAAATACTACAATCAAGCAAAAAATAAATAATATTTTAACATTTTTTTTTTTAGAATATAGTAGGAATTCAACAGAAATCAAAATCACAACAAAATGAAAAAATTAAATTACAACTCTGAGTATATTTTATAAAATATAATAATTAAGACTATTGACTTCCACGCTCTCAAGACCTGGTTTATTGCCCCATAGCTTGAAAAGAACAGTTTCATGCTGCTTCCAAGTCATTAAAGCCTCTCATTCCTATTAAATTAATAAAGCCAGAATATCCTCTAAATTTGGCTAACAAAATGCATCAAGGTGAACTTTTTTAATGAAACTGCTACATCGGCCATAAATACTGGCAAAAATAACAAAAAATGGAGAATAATATGAAGAAAATTCCCAGAGCAGGTCAAAATGGGGATTCAGGTTAAAGGCCAAACAAGTTATTACATTTGGTCAGGCATGCCGCCGCCTTCAGCTGCCAGTTTTAATCGCTGATGATGTTCCACCACCTTGTAATCTACAATTTCTTTAAACAACTGGGAATCCAAGATGCAGTCTGGGCGCCCATAGACAGCAGCTTGGACACTGGCCATGAGTTTGGCTATCTCACGGCCAGAAAATCCCTCTGTTTTCTTAGCAGCCTCTCTCAACACATCTTCCGATAAATCTTTTACGGTAATCTCTTGGGGCTGCTTCTTCAACGAGAAGCCCCCCTTGGAGCCATTATTGTTATCACATAGATACTTGTTCAAATAAAGCTTCAATAACTTTAGACGTTCCTCCTCTCCTGGAAGCGGGAATTCAATCACTTCATCAATGCGATCAGTAATTGCACTATCAAGATCACCTGGTCTGTTTGTAGCAAGGACAAGAACTATGTCTCTAGACTGATCACCAGTTCTGAAGAGCAATGCGTTTAGAGCACTTCGTTGAGCTTCACTCATATGTGTGCTGTTACGCCTGTATTGAATACAAAATAAACATTAAATCATTGCTCTAATAAAAAATATATATAATTATTATCCAACTTATCACACCAATTTTTTCAACAATATAGGGAGAAAATTTTGAAATCCTTTAAAGTTACAGCCAACAAGGTAACAACAAAAGCTCACTCATACAAAATCCATAAAAAGCCGTTGTTGATTCATTTGTATTTATTTTAATCTCAGGAATAAAGTAAAGTTGAAATTATTTCGAGCTCTTAAATACAAAATTTATTGAAAATACAATTTAAGTAAAATCTAAACCATTATCAATTGAGCAAAAACATAAAGATATTCTCCAAAGACTACTGTAATTATATTTACATTCCTCAAATATTGGATAAATTACATAAACCAGATAATTTTGGCTACCCAGCCACATAGTAATTTAAATAGTGTTATATTTTATAGTTATAGTCTTCAAAATGTATTTTTAACCCTCCCAAACTTACTCGCAAAGGAATGCATCTGCTTCATCAATAAAAAGCAATAGGCCTTTTCTAGATTTCTTGGCCCAATCAAATATCTCATGAATTTTGGTAACAGCCTGTGGGCCCAGAGGTGCAACATCTCCTCCTGTCATCATGGCATAATCCAAACCCTTCACAGAAAAATTGAAGGAGTCAACAGTGGTTAACAAATCTTTCTAAACAATTTCTGCAAATAAAGTACTTATAACGAGCCATAAAATGCAATATCCAAAGAAATTCCATGACTAAGTTACGGAAAAAGCTAATAACTAATGCGATAAACCGAATCCACTGGTAGCATTATAATAACTAATTTCAATTCATTTGTTCATATATCAATATATGACCTGCAGAATCTTATGCCAGATTGTCAGTAAAAAGAACTTGACAGATCATATAAAAATACAGAAAGTACAATATATAAATTAGAACTAATCAACATACCGATTTTCTAGCTATTTCCCTTGCAACCATGGTTTTACCAGTCCCAGGAGGTCCATAAAAAAGCATGTTACGGAATGGTGCCTGATGGGCCTTGGTATTTGATGTTGCCCGTGCAAGATGCTCTATTCTTCTCTGTAATGATGGATGGAGGATTACATTTCCAAGACTACTTCGACTCTCGTTACGCTTTTCTGCCCTGGCCAAAGTACTATAATTTATAACTTTATTTTTGGCTTGAGATATGATCCTTGACCCGGGAAACTTTGCCATGGATGATTCCCGGATCAATGATGGCTGCCCCAAAATCCGATTAATATAGCCCCATGTAACTTTAGCACCTTCTCTGTAGAAACAGAAAGTAAAATAAAATATAATCAGATACCATTTACAAAAAATCGCAGAATTCTGATGAATATTGATTTGAAAACTCACAAACACAGTGCATTATATATAGTCTGTGATCTCGGAGTATATTTTATTTTATCCAAAGAAAGACTGTAATTGAAATTTGAAAATGATCATGCCTTTGTAAAGTCAATTTTACCAAGAGTTGATCCTACCACACTGCACCTGCTTGCCAATCAACTGGGGGAGAGAAACTATACTTCATTAGAATAGGGAGTTTCAGAACTACATCTAAGATTTTGCTAGTGGTGCAAGAATCTCAGGCAAAATACTTCAAAATATTTAAGGTTTTAAGTGCTTTATTGTTGAAGAGAGAGGTAGAAGAATCATAGCATGAAAAACCTTGATTTTATTTGTATTTTTGTTTTTCAGGGGTAGGAATGGACGGACTGGGAATTAGCCAGGGAGTCGGATGCCTAAGCAGAGGCTACCACTTCTGTGGTGTAAGAGACAGAAATAAGCTCTCTTACTATATCCTTTTCCTTTCTTATATTCCTTCGTTCCCCTTTTACTGTCTGATGCACTTTCTTAGTATCCAATAGAACAATAGAACAACTATTATGCATTTTGGATACAACTCTCTTGCAATCAGTCCTGCACATCCCAAAGTTTTCGGTATGGATAAAGTTGTGCAGGGGTCGAATTGAACTCAATTTTTTGAAAAACCGAATCGAATTGATTTAAACGGTTTGGTTCAAAAACAATTCTATTTAGTTCAAAACCGATTCGGTTCGGTTCAAAAATGGTTCGGTTTGGTTGGAAACGGTTCGGTTCGGAACCGGTTTAGGTCGACCCTATTCTAAAAAGAAAAAAATTAAAAAATCAAAGAAATAAAGTAATAAAAATAAGTTCGGTCAGGTTCTTGAACTGGTTTTAAAAATTGGTTATTTTAAGTGCAGTTCAGTTTGGTTCACGGTTCATTTTTTTTGTTATTTTGCACATCCCTACTGACAGACATTACAATAGTGACATAAATAAAATGATTGTATATCCTAAAAAAATCAAAGTAATGTTTGGGTAAACAAAAACACTTACTGCCAACAGACTTCCTAACTCAGTAGATGATTTACTCAGTTCAAAATCAAATAAAAAGGGCAACCTGAAGCTATAGCAGGATCCATAGAAGGGCTATAGTAGACAGCCGTATCTTGCATTTGCAAGAGGCCTAATTACATGGATCGAAGCTGTGACCTCTAAGTCACATGGCACCAAGCCAACAAAACTAATCGTTGTGCCAAGACTTCCCTTCTCAGTTCAAAATCAAAAGCACCAAGAAAAACAGCAGTTACCTAGTCGTATATACTCCTGCAGCTAACGCAGTAACTCCTCCAACAGTCATAAACAATTTGTCCCTATCAGTCAATAAGATCCTGAGACCACCTGCATATTGCAAGTAGAAAGATGGCATTTATACCAACAAATTCTTAATCTCAGATAATTTACAAATCAAAAATCATGCAGGACTCATCTTCTACCAATGAAGATAGTTGATAAAAAATGAGGTTACAGTCAAAGCAGATTTTACTCTATGTAACACGAGCCTTGACAGCACAAGACACCAAAACCCCAAAAATTGTAACATTTTCTGAAAGAATGACAGAAATATCTGGAAGACATAAATCTTGACCTGGAGAGTTCCCAGAAAAAGTTCAGAAGAGTAAATTTAGAGCAGCAATTACTTTTCCTTAGTGGCTATGAGCTTAATAATATCATGCAACCATGAATCCCGCTGTGCAAGCTAAACAAATAAGAACTTGACAAATTAAATTATAAGCTTGCATGGAAACAAGTTTATAACCTCATGGTGTAATAATTGAAATTTTATCAAAGTCAGAAGATTAACAATTCTAGGAAACATTACTGACAAGACTTTCCCTATTCTCTCTCATGGCATGTACAGAAGGAATACTGCATATGCAGACACATAAACATAAGAATGTGCCTGGTGTTATACATTTTTGTTTATTCTTTTGTATTGATTGTACTTGGCAATATTTATCAATAGCAATAAGTTAATAACCTTTCCAGCTAACAGTAGCTAGCTTTGCACAAAAGCATTAAAATTACCAACCAAAATCTAGTATCTGTATATCCAGATTGATATTAATCTCAATTAGCCACATCTACAATTGGGAAAATAAATATTGACACAATGAAGCTGCATAAAAGTTCATCCATGCACGAGTCAGTACCATAGTAGAGACAAGCCAGTCAATACCCCCAGTATGATACTAACATATAAGCCAAAAGTATATTCTAAGGTCAATGGATGTCCATCAATTGCATACCTTCAATATGACTAAAAGTTGTGTTAATTGCCGCAAGCCATTTATCTCTTTCACCTTGCATCCGTTCTATAAGCATTCTCCTTTTATGATCCTCAGTTAATTTTGCTTCGTGGGCTCGGCCTTCAGCCTCAGCCATTGCCTTAACTCTAATGGTTTCTCTTTCTATTTCAGCTCTCTCTCTCTCAGTCTGACGCTGCTGAGACTGAATCTGTTCTTCAGTAGCCTGTCTTGCCTGCTCCTTTCTTACAGAAGACTCCTCTTGCATCTTGACCAATTCAAGATTATGTTGCCTTTGAGCTTCATGATCTGTCTGTGAATTGCAACTTATGGATAACTATTTGATGTAATATATTTAATCTTACAGAATTTCAACAATAGAGAAGCTTAATTTGCATAGGGCTCTGGCCATTTTAAGATTTGTCCATCGTTAGATTACTTTTTTCACCATAAATCCTATTACAACCAAGTCTTGAACACCAAGATAGGAAGGGGGATAAGTTTCAGAAGTTTTCAAGTCAATGATTAACTAAGGTCACACATTTCTATTATTAAAAAAATTCAAAAAGACTAAAAGGGTATAGTTTTGTTAGCTAAAGAATATCCATTTCCTAGGACCAAAAGAGGAAACAAAAATTTAGCAACCATATCTTTAAGCTCAAGCTCAGCATAATCTGCATATATTTTCTACCTGCATCCATCATTCTCAAAGCTATTATGATTTTTTGCTATTGTAGTAAAATATATCTAAATGTTTGTCAAATGCCAGAACTTTCTAAATTCACATATTAACAACTAAAAGAGTATATTGTTGTTTATTCATGCACCTGCATTCTTTTCCTTGCCAATTCATCTTCATATCGCAGCACCTGGGCCTGTCTCTGGGCTTGCTCTTGTATTAGATTCCGTTGTTCTTCAGCCATTTTCCGCTGCCTTTCCTGCAATGAAAATATAATTGGCACAACAGGGCAAGATATAAATTTAAGAAAGTATACACCAGAATAAAAAAAGTTTAAAAAAAGAAAAGAAAGAAACTCCCATGAAACCCTGACTTGCAAGGAAAGTACACACCAGAATGATTCTCTATAATGATAGACCTTAACAAACACATAAATTTGCAATAATGGTGATGATAAAAATAATACATAATAGAATATAGGGATAGCTTGGTTTAAAACAGGAAAGATGCAAAGGGAATAAGATGTTGACAAAGTTTCCACTCGGAACAGGCCTTTTCAGTGTTAGTTGGCCGTTGAATGTAATTACAAGCTTTATGGATAACTGTACTAAGTCTTTATTTCTAGTTTGATTTATCCTCCTACTTTACTGCTAAATGCCGGTAAAATTATATTAGTAATTAAACATTACATTCAAAAAATATTAGTACAAATTTCTGATGACGTAAAGCACAATCGCTTAAGTAAAACAGAAATGACTATAAGAATATCATGAGCCGCCTATCAATACAATACCAGTATACCACCTTAAAACTACACGATATGGTGGTATGAAACAATCTTTATGAATGATAACTTACAATATCTCCTTGAGACTGAATAAGTTCATAATGAACTTTCTCAGCATCTATCTCAGCAAGGCGAGTTTGTTCCTGTTTTCGCATTAGATCAAACACCTGGAAAACATTACAAAAATATATCAGGAAACTACAATCCGTCCCAACGCAAAGAACACGCATTATTCCTTGTTTAAGCCAGAACAAAAAATGCATATTGAATTCCTGAACCAGTAAAATTAAAAAAATAAAAACCTGTTTGGCATAGGGAGAACTATTGATTTCACGGAGAGCTTTAGCACCTCTTTCTAACGATTCCGGATCAAAACCCGACTTGTTTGGTTCTTCGGGAGCCGAAGGATCCGACTTGGTGTCAGAAGATTGTTCTGGCGGCGAAGGCGATGGGGAAGGTGAAGAAGAGAACAGAGGGAACCGAAAGGGAGAGTCGGCGTACGCTCTATCGGAGAACGTGGACATGGAAGCCACCGCAGCAGCTGCTACGGCCACGCATGAGGTTAACCTGGCGGCGGCCATTGCTTGCAATGCGCCTTAGAAATGAATCATGAAGAAGCTTTGTGTTGTTTCGGGAACGAGAGTTCGCGGCGTGGCCCGAGCTTAAACCCTCTGCTAGGGTTTAGGGTTTAAACGGGAAAATTGAAAAGTTGTAAAGGCGTTGCGCCGTTGCGTGGAGAGCAATTCAAACACTTAAAACGACTGCCGTTTATTGTCCCAATATGGAAACAGATCAAACGTCTTGAAGGGTGCCCCAGAAACCAGGGTTGTGGCGGCGGACTTGTGGCCCAGTGGACCTTTAACTCTCCGAACCCTCATTTGCCTTGGCCCTGTTTGATATTGATTATTTTATTTATCCACCAATTTTTAAAACTATTGAATTTTTAAGTAGACATAACATTTACTATAAATTTATACCACTAATAAGCAAAATGACTTTCTACTTTTAATTCCATGTGTTGAATTATCATAAAATTACCCACATCCTAAGTCTACTTCTTTTGTTTCTTTGACCTTTTTTGTCTTTATATTTTCATCTCATAATTAATTTTATAGAGGTAAAATTTGTCTTTCTGACATATTTTGTATTGTTTTTATTTATAATTAACTATAATACATTTTAATTTTTTAAGATGATGATTCTGAGCCTGTTTGGATCCTCTTATTTTTAAGCTAGAAGCTACTTATAAGCTAAAGCTAAAAAAAGAGAGCTTAAAAAAAGAAACTAAAAGCTGTTTGAAAATTACATAAAAAATTTAGCTTAAAAATTAATTAAAAGCACATATTTCAAGAAAATTATTTCTCTCTCTATCTTTATCACTCTTCATTTAAAAAAAAAACACACACAATTCAAGAAAAACAGATAAGAGCTTAAAAAAAGCTCCTATGAGGAGCTTTTAATTTTCAACTTTTTTCTTCATTATAAAAAAAAGTTTTTCGTTATAAGAGCTTTTTTCAAAACCTGTTTGACCTAGCTTATGCTTATAAGTAGCTTCTAGCTTAAAAATAAGAGGATCCAAACAGGCACTTTATATCCATAGGAATCAATATTTTTTTATATCTCTGTAATTATTTGTACAAATTATTTTTTTTTCCTTTCACTTAATCTCTTTCTTTTTCTGTTAAGTTGTTCAACTATCCCTCCCTTTTCTTTTTGTTTATTTGAGTTCATTTTTCTTTCTTTCTTTTTTTTCTAATTTATAGTAGTGCTATTCATTCTTCTTAAACGATGATATGGGTTCTTTCTAAAAATATTTCACTAAATAGTAAATCCTTAAGAAGTACAATAATGATTATAAAAAAAAAAACTTGGATAAAAAATTGAGAAACGAATCTTTAATTCGTATAATTCTCTATAAATTTGATTCATGTAATTTACTTAAACGAGTTGATATTAATGACAAAAATTTTATATTGAGATTAAGTTTGTATAACATAAAAACGGGTTGAGAAATTTTAAAGAAATAATATCTATTTTTATGATGGTATATAAGATTTTTACTTTTAGGATAGATGTACATATATATATTATTTTTGTATAATTATTTTCTCATTATAATAGGAAAATCCTTTTAATGCATAAATATTTTTTTTATAATTTTTCTGGTTTATAAAACAGTAAAATAAAAGAAATAACTGTTATATATTATTCAAATAAATCAAATTTTTAACTAAAGTGAGTTTATATAAATAATGATGAAACTTTAAATTAAAAATTAGTTTAGTATAACCTAAAAAAGAGAGAAAATTTTAATGGGGTGAATATATATTTTTATTATCATTATAATATAATTATTTTTATGTATATATTTTATTAATATTTTTTTTCTTATTATAATAGACAGACCTTCTTAATGCTTAATTTTTTTCATAATATTTCTTATTTCATAAATGATTAATATAACATATTAATTTTATATATTCATCAAATAAATCAGTTTTAAATAATTGTTATTTATTTTAAAATGTACAAAAAATTATTGGACAAACTTTATATTAAATATTTTTAATTTAAAAACTATACAAGTAAATATTTACATTATTATGGATAGATGGAAACTTTATAAGAATAAATGTTGATATATAAATCACGAATAATTAAATATATACACCAAACGGGCAATGGAAATTTTACATAAAAGTATATTAATATTTAAATCATAGGGTAAATTTTCGCATAACACATATTAAAATTTTAAATGGAACTGTATTAATATCTAAATTATAAATATAAATATCTACGTACGTACGTTAAATGGATACTTTATTTAAAGTTTTTAATTTTTAAATCAATGGTAGGTATATACAATACATGAGAATGCATATTTTATGTGTGTGTGTGTGTGTGTGTGTTGGGGGGGGTGGGGGGGGGGGGCGTTGGAAGGATTAAAAATTGTGTATTACAGCTTATTAGTATTTAAATTACAGAAAAAAAATATTTTCACTGAATAAGCTTATTAGTATATAAATCATATAAATTAATATTTACATTACATAAGATCATTAGAAACTTTATATAAGAATATATTAATATCTTTTTTTTTTGAGGTTATAAGAAATTGAACACAACACCCTACACTACACACACTCCTAACACACACACCCCACACCACTAGGCTAATCCTAGTGGTGAATATATTAATATCTAAATCGCATAAATAATAGAATTTATGTTTTTATGTTATTATATGAATCATATTTAAATATATTTACTTGTTATAAGTTTGTCACGTAAAATTAAACATCTGGCTGATCATTGCAGGAGTAAAAACACTAGTTTGGATGAAATTCAAGAAATTCTCAGGGGTAAAAAACTCTTAACATGCGTGAAACGTATTATTGAGTCCACATGCAGGTTTCGATGAGTTTAGTGATCGTATTAGTGAATTTCAGTGTACTGAAATTTTTCTTTACGCTTCATGCATTTTAACCCTTAAATTTTGATTTGCCCCATATTCACTGTGAACTTTTTGATATTACCAAGTTAAAGGAGAACTCATAATAAATTAATAATATACAAACTTAGAAATACCTTGATAGATAATTTTGTTTTATTGACATGATTTCTTGACCACACCACCTAGAAATAACGTTTATTTTACATAGAAAGCATGTCCTAACTAAACGACTTAGCGCTGGTGGTGATACATATATTTATGAGGGAGACGCTGTTGAGTCTGCATGTCTTGGATTCTGGATCAACGAGAGCCTGCCAAGCATTAAAGAAAGGGAATTCAGGTCATATCATTTCGTAGCATGGGTGCAGGGCGATTTTAACATAAAAAATATGGGTTTTATAATTCTCGTTAACATGAGAATTATAATTTTCCTACACACCCTTCGATTTTCGTGCTGACATGGGTTCTACATATAATTTTTTCTTACACATGGGTCCCACATACTTTTTATTTCTAGAACATGAGATTTCAATTCTACTTCAACATGAGAATTATAAAATCCAAAAAATATTACATAAGAAAATTAAAGCTTTCAATTTTATTAAATATTTTTCTAATTTTTTTTATAAGTGCATGTCTTTAAGTTACTGGTTACGAGGACTTTTACTTTCATGTTATTATACACATAAATCATGCTCTTTACAAATTTTGCATAATTTTTTTACTGTAATTAATTTATTATTTCTTTTTTCTCCGCATCCAATTGCTCACATGTATCCTCCGTGCCCGAATTTTTTCTGCAAAACATCACTTCCGTTTTTCATATCTTTTTTTTTTAGTACATTATTTTTCATATCTTTGTTTACAAGGGGTTAGAGTATGCGGTTTTAACCAGTATTCAAATAAATTTAATAAGTTACAATCAATTAATTAAAATGTAATTTAATTTAATTGATTTTATTGCTTATATACAATTAACTGCTTATTCAACTAATTTAACCAATATTATATCACATCATTTGGGCTAGGAATACCCACAATGCTAAGTTAATTAGAATTCTTTTTCAAAACATTATATTTAGAGAAGTTCTTAATGCTTACCAAGCAAAAGAAACTCCACATTATATGTAATACGGAACAAAACTAAGAAAATGAGTAAAAATATTTTTTGAAAGTCCTTTTTTTTTTTTTTAATTGGAAATAGCGGTGCCATACCAGTGTAAGGACATGGGACATCACCACGTTCAATGCGCTTGATATCTTCTTTGAGGATCTCATAGTGCCTTTTAACCTCCTCTACTGATTTTCCCACCACTTTTGCGACATTCTGCCACCTGTCAGGGGTTTCCCTATCATATATAGCAAGGGCCTCTTCAAATAGTTTGTTTTGCCTTGGCGTCCATGATGTTGCCATCTGCAGATAGACAAAACTTTTAACTTCTCTTAGTACTTAGGAACAAACTTGAGCTACGAGAATATTACAGCTGCCAAGGAAGGCCGAAGAAAATTACAAGAAAAATTAAAGACTGAATGGCTTTAGTCCACAAAAAAGGAAACAAGGGAAAATGATGGTTGCTTTAGGGAAGAATGATTACACTAAGTCAAGGGATGGTATGAGAAAGAGATAACCAAGATTGTTCTTTATAAATAGGAGGAAAAGTGTTATAGTGGGGCTGAGAGTGTTGGCCGAATATATCTTCCTAAAGGACAAAACAAAAGATATTGTGACCCGCTCTTTATGGAGCCAAAAGATGGATCATGACAATTGACGGCAAGTGGAAGAAGAGAATCAAGATCAAAGGAAACGCAACGCAATTAATCGTTTTAAGTAAAGATACTTCTTCATATCACGTCAATGCAAGTTGAAATTTCCATGTCTGCTATTAGTTAGTACTGTTTCCTAAATGTTAAGAATAGTAGCCAGAAAAGACCGGTAGCTTGTTCACCTTTAAATTCTAACAGTGGCATTACTGGAATAACTGTTAGGGTTGAAAAAGGGTATTCTAATATATTATAGAATTGTAAATAATGTGTACAAAGGGTTCTCTATTTATAGAGAATATTTGACCTACTTTTAATCTAATGAGCTTGGCCCAATACAACAAAGGGCTTGGCCCAATACAACAATAAATGACTAAATAATCAATATTATTTACAACACTCCCCCTCAAGTTGAGGAATAGATATTTATCATTCTCAGCTTGCTAGTAA